ATCTAGCTCCCAGAACTTCTAGTAGCCAGCACTTTCCACCTCTCTTTTTTGAGGATGAGGCTACCCTCTAAACAACATGAAAATTCAAAATTTTTTTCAGTATGCAGGCTAGTGGTGAAACTGGCATAATTATTAAGTACGAAGTTCCCATCCAGGTTTATTTCTTTCTTTTTGGGGGGAGGTGGGGGGAACATATCTCCCTATGAGCTTCCAATGGCCAGAATGGTTCTCTCACCACATGGTTCTATCAAATTTATTCCTGGCTTCACTGGCAGAATGAACAAGGGTCTTTGTTTTTGCCTCATGCCAAAGACTCTGGAAAGTTCAGACTTAGAGGTACAACTGACCTCTCCTGCCGCAATAAACTTCTAAAGGTGATAACCCACAAGAAAAAAATGACCTACCTGGGGAATATTTCTCTACTTGATGGTCCAAAGGAATTTCTGGAGGGTGAGGAGGATATGTAATTGTTGTTAGATGCTTAACATCCCTTTCCTGGAGGAGTTTACAAAAGGAGTGAATTGAAAATGCCATCCTTTGGCGGCCAAAGAAACTCATGAAGCACAGAAACAAAAATGTTGAGAAGCCAGATAGATTTACAAAGGCTTTATATGCAAACAAGGAAACCCAGGAGTTTCTTTCTGAACCATTCCATGTAAAATATCCCTTTCTCAAAGGCTAGAGGCTGATCAGCAAGAGGAGGGGAATTCTTAGGAGGAGTGAGTATGGGAGACTACAGAACTGCTCATCCCAAGGTATGTATCACTGAAGCTTCCACAGAGCACCTTTTCATCAACCTGTCACTAACGATACCCAATAAAGAAGGTCAGGAAAGGAATCATGGGAGAAACTTTTGAGGTTTCCTGGGGAATGACTCCTGACCAGAATCTCACAATTGTTCCAACCTTTTGTCCATCTCCACACATTGAAAGGTAGACTGGGAGACCCTGGGTACTCATGCCAGACAAGATTCAAGCATGGAGATGATAGTGAGAGATGACTTTGGCAGAAACCAACATGCCTAACCTGCAACACAGGTGATTAGGAGCTACATAGGCCATGAATCCTGGCACCTGATTCTTGTAGAGGGTAGTTTGCACTAACTGCATTTGATTAGCCAACAAGTGCCCATTATTGTTCTCCAGAAAGACAGACAGAAAAGTGCACCTCAGAAAGATGTGGGTTGTGGAGAAGCTTCCCCTGATGATGACCCCTGCAGAGCCCCCATCTAAACAGTGGTCTTGAAAAATCAGGATGGGGTCCTGTCCCTCTCCCCAAACACATGTTGAAGATTAAACACCCAATAAATACCTAGGTAAGAGCAAAAAGTTTTAGCTGAATGATTAGGAGGGAGACAGAGAGAGAGAGAGAGAGAGAGAGAGAGAGAGAGAGAGAGAGTCCGTCCTCTGGAGAGGCGGGTGTCCAGAGCTGGTGAGTGTTATATATCTTTTATAGATTTCAGATTTTCTTTCTTCTCACGTCCCCCTCCTCCCAGCCTACCTATGTGGCCCAAGAGGGGAAGGGACCTATCCCTGTTTTCCATACCTGGTACCTCTCCCTGTTTTCCATACCTGCTCAGAAAGGGGGGAAGGAAGCCACTCAGGGGGAACTCATTAACAACTTCTTGTTGGGAGGAACAATTACCAGGAGACAGGCAACCTTGGCAAAATTTTGGAGATGGGAAGTGCTCTGGAGGTATTAGCATTTTCTTTTTGAATCAGCCTCCATATTTCTGACCCAATCACTTCTTATCATTATAAGAGATAATTATTTATATAATTTTCATGATAATTATATAACATATAATTATTCCTTATCTACACTGACTGCCCTTTTGCCCTGGTCTCAATGCCCACCAGCCCTGATCTATTTATAATCAATTTAATTTCCTTGACCAGGCTTGACGTCATATGCCTGTAATCCTAGTGGCTTGGGAAGCCGAGGCAGAAGGATCACAATTTCAAAGACAGCCTGAGAACATTAGTGAGACCTTGTCCCAGAATAAAAGGACTGGGGATGTACCACAGTTCCCTAGAATTCAATACCCAGTCCAAAAACAACAGGGGGAGGGCAGTACATATGGGCTATGGACATCTGTGCGTTTGCTGCATCTTAGCGCATACTTCTCAGTCAGTCAGTGGTAGCACTTCTAGAGTGAAACTGATGTCACCGTGATCACAGGCCTTTGTAATAACTGCAAGAGAAGCTGGAAGTATTTGGCCATATTTAGCTCCAACTGAGATGGGAAAATGGTTTCTGCCACTCACTCAGACTACAGTGGGAATAATCTTCCAAACCCAGAGGGTCCCAGTTGCTCAGTAGCCAGTACAATGACACATGTCAGTATAAGAGAAAGCAATTTATTTTTTCATAATCTGCAGCTCAGGGGGAGGCAGTTGAGGGATAAGACAGGGACTCAACAATGTGACTAGCCATGTCTAGGTAGCATGACTTGTTGCCTCAGTTGCCCTAGGTGGCACCTCAGCCAATGGGTCTAGCTTCAAGGCAGAAGGTGGGAAGAGCTCTGTCAAATGCATCACCTTCCCTTTTATTGAAAAGGCAAAAGCTTTTACAGAAAAACTCAATAGACATGTCCCTTTTACAGGAATTGTGTAATGAAGTCCACCCTTGAAATGAGGGAATTTGGGAAGTTATGTAGTTGGGAAGATTGCCACCTCTTTCCCCAAACTGAAACTCTGTTACAACAGAAAGGAAGAAGTGGAGATAGGGTAAGCAATGAGCACTATCTGCTTCAAGTAGCACTGTGTCTGAAAGGGTGATAAGAATCAGCCAGCTCCTCCCCATGCCATCTCCCCAGAGACTGTATTACCTGCTTTCAGTTGCTCAAACAAAATACCTGAGAATAGATATTTATAAAGACATGACAGAGTCCAAAATTTTGCAGGCCCCATAACTGATCTTTGATGAGGGTGATCACAATATGGTGAATGGCATCATGGTGGGATAGATGTTGCATGGCCAGAAACCTGGGGAAGGACCCGTCTTACTCTTTTTATAACAAACCACTCTCACAGGAACTAATGGGGGTCCATGAGAAGTACATTTCTCCCTTCTGACGGTATCATCCCCAGTTACCAAATTACCTCACACTAGGCCCCACCTCTTAGATTCTACCACCTCCACACTGCCACACTGAGTACGACGCCTCCAGCCTATGAACATCTGGGAAGTAAACCACATCACATCATCACAAGCTCCAAAGAAGCCAACATCATAAGAGCAGGATGTCCCAGTCTACAACACGTGTGTATGTGGGAGCAGGGGAAGGTTGCACTCAGAAGTCACTGGAAGCAGCCAGAGCCCCAATTCTGGAAACTCTGTGATGTCAAAGTTGATGCTTCTTTCCTTCCCTGCTGTTGTCCTGGCACTCCGAGCAGTAACTCAGAAGAGGTCACTAGTGGCTTCATTTCGCTGAGAAGAGGAGGCCTAGTCATGGCATTCTCTAATGACTTGAAGCACCCACCCAGCGTCCAGTTAGACATGCTTGGATTATCCCCAGTCGTTTTGCGTTTTGCCACTTTGAACATGCTGCGGCTGCTGAATGTCAGTGGCGTGTTCTGTGTTCTTTGCTTTTCCGTGAGTCTCCATGCAAGCTGTAAGGTTTCTTAAAAAGAGATGGAAGGGAAAATAGATATAGTGCAGAGGCAGGGAAGTGGA